ATGCTGCTGAGGGTGCCGCAGACACCGCCGAAGAGGCAGTGGACGAGGCTAAAGACGCAGCCGAGAAGATCATCAAGCCAGATTTCGCACAACTCGAGGGATTGAAGGTCAACAAGAAAGGTCAAGTGGTCAACGAGGATGGGGACCCCATCGCCCAGTTGGCTGAAGGTTTCGACCTTGATGCTGTCCGTGGCAAGAAGATTAATGAGAACGGAGAAATTCTGGACAAAGATGGCAATGTTATTGGTCGAGTCGAGTTCATTCCCGAAGCTGTCGAAGAAGGTATCGTCGAAACCATTGAAGAAGCTACTCCCGAAGTCCCCGAAACTTCGATCCTTGAAGGCCTCAAAGTCAACAAGAAAGGTCTAGTGTTGAATGAGGATGGGGACGAGATTGCGAAACTCGTCGAAGGTGATCTTGCTGCCGTTGCAGGAAAGAAATTGAACGATAAGGGCGAGGTCTTGGACAAGGACGGTAATGTCATTGGCAAAGTCGAAATGATTCCCCAAGAAGTTGAGGAGGAAGTCGAAGAGGCTGCCGAAGAGATTGACGATGGCTTGCCGCCTCTATCCATCCTGGAGGGTCTCAAAGTTAACAAGTCCGGCAAGATTGTCGACAATAACGGCAACGTCGTCGGCGAACTGGTCGAAGGAGATGCCAAGAAGATTTGGAAGGCTGGTACAACCTGCGACGACCAGGGACAATTCTGGGACAACAAAGGCCATATAATTGGTCGGGCAAAGACTCTACCTCAAGAGGATAAGGAAGAAGAAGCCGAGTTCGCTGGTCTTGAAGGTCTAACCGTTGTGGCCGACGGATGGGTTGAAGATGAGAACGGCAACAGAGTTGGCCGTATTGTTGAAGGAGACCCAAAGAAACTTGTCGGTCGTGCAGTCGATGAAGACGGTGACATTATTGACAAGCGAGGCAATGTCGTTGGGCACGCTGAGAGATACGAAGAACCCGAACCAGAGCCAGAACCAGAGGAGCAGAAGATCGACCTTTCAGAACTGAAGGGTTTGACATGTAACAAACAAGGCAATGTCATCGGACCTGATGGCGTTCCAATTGGTCGCCTGGTCGAAGGCAATCCCAAGGAGCTTGCAGGCCGCAAGATCGATGAAAACGGCCAGATCTGGAACGATCAAGGTCATGTCGTTGGCCGCTGTGAACTCATTCCATTCAACGAGCGTGAAGCTAAGCCTGAAGGTCCGTTTGCTGGCCTCGAGGGTCTCATCGTTGTCAAGGACGGCTTCGTTGAGGATCACGAAGGTAATGTTGTCGGACAGGTGGTAGAGGGAGATTGGAAGAAACTCCTTGGCCGCGGGGTGGATGAAGATGGCGACATTATCGACAAGTACGGCAATGTCAAAGGCCATGTCGAACCATATGAAGTCCCCGAAGAAGAGGTTGTTGAGGAAGATCTATCCAGCCTCGCTGGTAAGACTGTCAACAAACAAGGCAAGGTCGTTGACGAGCATGGAACCATTTTTGGCGAAGTCGCCGAGGGTGAAGTTCAGCGTCTTGTCGGTTGTAAGGTGGATGGCAAAGGACAAATCTGGTCCAATGATGGCAGAGTCATCGGTCGTGCAAGACTCATCGCAGGTGGTGATGATGGTCGTGCCGAAGGACCATTCTCCAACTTCGACTCTACAACCATTGACAAGGATGGTTTGGTCAAGGACGCTAGCGGAGAGATCATCGGTCGTGTCACCGAAGGTGACATCAAAAAGTTGGTCGGTCGCAAGGTTGATGACGACGGAGATATTGTCGACAAGAATGGTAATGTCATTGGTCACGCCGAACGCTGGGAACCAGAAAAGAAGGAACGAGAGGTTTCACCTATGTCTGGCCTCCGCGTGAATAAGGAGGGTGAAGTCCGCGACCGCAATGGAGATGTTATTGGCCGATTGACAGAGGGCAACTTGCTCGCCTGTATTGGCAAGGAGGTCAACGACAATGGTTATGTCGTGGATCAAGACGGCAACAAGATTGGAGAATGCACCCTGCTTGAAAACATTCCAGATGAAGAAGAAGTTGAGGAGGGTCCAACACCCGAGCAACTCAAAGAGGAAGAGGAGCGTGAGGTTGCAAAGAAGATCTCCAATATCATCAATCAGACGTTGGAGAAGATGGAGCCTATTTGCAAACAGATCACAGAGGTAAGTGCATTCATTGCTTGCTTGCCAATAGCCATACTAATTTATCGTCACAGCTTGTCGAAAGGGCTGATCGCACCCCCAAAGACGAGCTCGATGAGGAGAAACTCGTGCAAGACGTCAAGCCTCTTATCGAAGAGGGTTCTCGCATCCTAGGTGAATGCAATGGTGCCATCCGCGGACTTGACCCCGACGGTCATATCGCAGCCAACGCCAAAGCGAAGGCAGCCAGTGGTGAGGCTTCGCCAGAAGAATATCGTGTGGCAGAGGGATTGAAGGAACTTACCACTCAAGTGGTCAAGACCATCGACAACGCCAAGAAGAAGATTGCCGATATGCCTCATGCGAAGAAGAAGCTGAATCCACTGTGGGCGCTGTTGACAGAACCTTTGTTCCAGATCATCGCTGCTGTCGGTCTACTGCTGAGCGGTGTGCTCGGGTTGGTGGGCAAATTGCTCAACGGCTTGGGTCTTGGTGGTTTGGTGAGTGGCCTATTGGGAGGTCTCGGTGTTGACAAGCTGCTGGGTGGATTGGGTTTGGGCAGCTTAGCGGAAGCTATGGGCCTGGGAAGTGGAAAGAAGAAGAAATAAGGGATTAGTTGATATGTGTTGTTGTTGCCGCGGAGAAGGCAGCAAGATATGAGTCTTTGGGTGGAATTTGTAACACTACCTTTTCCTGGATTTTGGGTATGAGGTATCTGACTGGAGTTTGTTTGTTATCAATGTGGTGGGATGTATGTGATCTTAATGACATTTGCTGTTCCAGCGAAGAATGATAAAAGTGTTTGTAAAAACCAGTCAGCATGTTATCGTGTCAAACAAATCTGGATGATAAGTTCTTGAGGGTGTGTAGACGTCGCACCTATATCGCATACTGATCTATAGATTGTTGCAATCTATTAATTCATCACGCACTTACCTCGTGGGCATCAATCGGTGGCCAGATGTGAGATCTTCCGTTCGTTGCCATGTATGCTTTCGGCGATATTCTGGGGACGAAAAAAGTCATTTGAGGCAACGACCATGATGTTGCCAGTGCGGCATTTCATGAAGCGACGGATGGATGGATAACTGAGTCAGTTGTCAGCTGGAAAGGGTTTACGTTCCATCCACTCCTGCCGCGTGCTTAGGCCACCGTATCATCAAGACATGACGATGGATCCCAATCCCTCCCCACTCGGCCATGTCGCACTCGATGAACGGCTGCGTACCTCTCGTGCCTTTCGTACTTGCCTCGTCGTCGTCCTCACCGCGGTGGTGGTCACCGACCTCTACAAACCCATGTCGAATGTAGAATGGATACCCCGCGGGAGTCGCGGCCAGGAGGACAGGGACGTCCAACCTGTCCGCCCAGGGAAAGATCCATGCCAACAATCTGCTCGCGATGCCCTTGCGCAGGTGTGTTGGGGAGAGCGTGCCGATGCCGCGCACCTCGAAGCAGTGCATGCCCCCGAACGTGGCTGAGAGGGCGGCTTCGACGGTCTGGTCCCAGTGTTCGTGGAGGGCGCGGTGGGCGGATGATGGGAGGTCGACGACCTCCGTATCGACATTCGTCGGAGGTGGCGAGGAGGAGGTCAAGCTTGGTATTTCGACTTTGCTCTGGGTCTCTGTCGTACTTTTTGAGACAGATGGTTCTATTCTGTGTTCCTGTTCTTGTCCTGGCAATGGGTGATATTGGAACTCGGCAAACGCGACGACGACACCTCCAGCGGCAGACACTACCTCACCCTGTGCCGTTGGCTGCGGCAGGTCCAGGTCCAGATCCAGATCGCGAATGACCAGGTGCTCCATGCGCGGTACATGTCGACCCAACCCGTCGCACTCGAGACCGACGATACGGGGATATTTCAGCTCGGTGAGGAGCTCGACCCTGGTGCACGCCTCGAGCCATTCGTGAGCCTCCTCGGCGGGGACGTCGCCGTATCTCAACTGTCCCAGCGGAGTGGTGGTCAAGGACGAATGTTTGATGCGTGCGATATCCGGGACAACGTTATCTGCATCGTCCAAGGAGAGGTGGATAGGGTCGGTCAGGTGCATGTTTATGCTAGAAAAGGGAATCTTCTGGCGTTTATGGATTGAGGGAGGTGGGTGGGCGGGCTAACTATGAGCAATACGAGACGTGAATATTAGGTGAGATCTCAGCCTAGTGGCCACCAGTGCCACTAACCAGTTGTGCCAACGCAGTTTAACGAGGGGAGGGAATGGCGTAAGGCTGTGGTTCAGCCTCGTCAACCCCCTCATCCCACCGGGGGCAGAAGGCGATCAGGTGATTTGTTTACAATCACAACTGAATGAATTTCAACAGCATAGAGCATAGGCACAAGGAGGCAGGATATAGATACGAGGAAAAGAAAGTGGTCCCATCCGCCCCCTCCTCTTCAAAACCCGCGGGGAAACCCTGTAGGAGCGACGCGTCGAGACCTCGGTATCCCGCATCGTCTAACTCGGCTCAGAGCTCGTCTGGCCGAGTCGTCCACAAGCAAGACAGACATATCCCAGGTTCAACAAAATAGCATTGGACAACCGGTACCGAGTTCCAACTTGTTCTGTGAGGTCAAGGCTTTCCAACTGGCACCACAAGCTTACTTATTACTTGGAGGTACTGACCGTTTCGCTTATCCAAGGTCAAGTGAAGTGGGTAGTCCGCTGGCTAATTGCTGACACTGTGCCTCGGAAACTTGGTGTCGAAGGACTTAAAGGACATTATTACACGGTTTTTTTTTGTTTTTTTTCATCCTTTTTCTGGTTGATCTTGACCAATCTACACATCCATCCTGCGAGTTTTAGACGGGACTTTTTGTTTGTGTCTGCGTCCCATATCAGCATCGCATTAACGACCGCCATGTCGATAACAACCCCCCTCACCCAGCTGCTGGGTATCAAGCACCCCATCCTCCTGGCTGGTATGGGTTCGACGTCGGGCGCTCCTCTTGCGGCCGCGGTGACCAATGCCGGTATGTTGTCTGGATCGCAACAATCTCCCTATCACCATACTTAGGTGTAATGCTAAATTCCATGAGAGGCGGCCTCGGTGTGATCGGTGGAGTCGGATACACGCCCAAGATGCTCAAGGAGATGATAGAGGAGTTGAAAGTGAGTGGATGATTTGTTCGCAGTTATTTTGGCCGAGGCGGATGGGTACCGCAACCCGAAAAAAAAAAAAGCTGGGGAAATAAGGGAGAAAAAGGAATCGGATTGGATTACAGAGGCTGAATTTGTCAACTCTCGCTCGAACAGGCCGCTCTCAAGGACCCTTCAGCCCCCTTTGGCGTCGATCTCTTGCTCCCACAAGTCGGCGGCAATGCGCGAAAGACCAACGTGAGTAATGTCCTCCTCCATTCTTGCTCCCTCCGATCGAAATCTCTCCCTCGCTTCTGGTCCCTCGTTCCACTAATCGCCCTCTTTCTAATGTTACAATCTGCAGTCGGACTACACAAAAGGTGCCCTCGACGAACTCATCGACATCATCATCGCCGGTGGCGCCAAACTCTTCGTCTCGGCCGTGGGAGTCGCCCCCAAACACGTCGTTGACAAGCTGCACAAACACGGCGTGCTTTATATGAACATGGTTGGACACCCGAAGCATGTCCACAAGGCGTGCCAGGCTGGTGCCGACATCATCTGCGCCCAGGGAGGAGAAGCTGGAGGCCACACTGGCGAAACGGCCACGACGTGAGTGAGACTGGTCTACTTCGAACGACGGGGAAATGCTGGTGCATCGGAATATCTCGTTGTAAGCCGCGGCAAGGGAACGAAATCGCTGACACTTGGTTGTGAAGTATCTTGATTCCCGCCTGCGCCGATATTGTCAAGAACTATACCTCCCCACTGACAGGCAAGCCCGTCGAGCTCGTCGCCGCCGGCGGCATCTTCGACGGTCGCGGCATTGCGGCAGCCTTGTCGCTGGGCGCCTCGGCCGTCTGGGTCGGCACACGATTCGTCACGGCCAAAGAATCCGGCGCCGCTGAGGCCGCCAAGAGAGCCATCCTCGCTGCGGGCTTTGACGACACCATCAAGTCGACAATCTGGACCGGCCGTCCCCTCCGCGCCATTGCCAGCCCTTATGTCCGGAACTGGGAGACGAAGCGACGGGACGAGATCGAGGAGCTGCAAAGTAAAGGCATCCTTGTCCTAAACCACGAGTTGGAGAAGCTGGAGAAGACCGGAGGCCTCACCGAGGAGATTGAGGATCAATCGGTGTGCATGTACGTCTACTCTTACTCCTCCTACCACGGTATCGCGCCGCAAAGGGTGTTTGCTAACATGTGATTTTTGCTGAATATAGGCCTGCCGGCCAGGTATCTGGTCTCGTCAACACGCCAAATCAGACTGCAGCAGAGATTGTGGAGGAGATGATGGATGGCGCTATCAAGGTGCTGAACCGTGTTGGGGGGTATTTGAGGCCGAGTGCCAGACTGTGATTGCGTATGGCCGCAAAGGAAGGAAAGACGAAAAGAGGGGATGTGCGAGTCTTTGAACGGAGAACAGGATAGGTTTCCCTAATTTTGCATTCGCCTTGCCTTGCCGGGACGTGCTGCGCTTCTGGATAGTAGGCGATAGCGCATTGCTGTGGTCCGTAGCTCACCAACGCCTTCGTCTTGGGGAGTTGCTCTCCCTCCTTGAACCAATCATAGATGTCTAGACATTCCATACCGCAACAGGAGGCAACTCACTTGGTTTTTTTTTGTGCCTCGGCGACGGGCTTCAGGCTTTATTGGGGGTACCGCTCTCCCCCTCAGCCTTTCTGGGTACTCCAAAGCATCGACTACCGCGCTACCAGCCTCGTGCCCCACCCACAGCCTCGCCATAACCCGTGGTGCGCGAGGGTAAGCCGAAATTTCAAATTCCTACAAAACCACGGGGACATGGTCGATTCATTCGGAAACAACTATCCAAAAAATCCCTCCCTGATCCAGGAAGTCCGAAAAAAAAAAGTCTCCATGGCCGGGGAAACCCCGTTCTCGCCGTCTCCGGACAAACCAGTCGTCGCCGTGGCCGGCGGCACCGGCGACCTGGGCACGCGGCTGACCGAGACGTTTCTCTCCGCCGAGCTGCGGGATCGGCTGTCGGGGTTCGTGCTGCTCGCTCGTCGCTACACGGCCAGGATGGAACGATGGAGGGACTCTCTCGGTGCCGAGGTGCGCATTATCGACGACGATGAGGCGGACGGGGTAGCGGGGTGTGATGAAAACGATCTGATCATGGCGTTGGACGGGGTTGATGTCCTTGTTAATGCGTGAGTAATTTTCTCTATATCTTATTTCTATGCACATTTACCCTGCAGCGATATACACGTACATACACGTACCTTGTCTCTCTTTTTTCTCTTTTCTCCCTTTGAGGTGTATGGCGGCCTACACGTTCCAACCACTTCCCCCCGGACCATTTTGAAAGGACACTATGGCTGAAATCCCCCCTTTCCCCCTTCATAGCATATCATCATCAGGCGCGCGACTGCGCGACAAGATCGCCCGGGCCCTCCCCCAGACGCGGGTGAAGTTGTACTTCCCGTCCGAGTTCGGGGTGGACCACACACTGCACGACTTCAGCGTGCCGGAGTGGGACGGCAAGAAGGCGCACTACGCGCTGACCCGGCAGGTTTTGGCACCCACGAACATCAAGGTCTGCAGGATCTTCAACGGCCTCTTCCTCCACAGCGGCGTCGGGCCCTGGTACGGCTTCCACACGGCCAAGGACGTTTATCAGGCCGTAGGCTCCCTCGACCAACACGTCAGTTTCACGGAAATCGGCGACATCGCCCGCGTCCTGTGTCTCCTCGCCGAGCGCATCATGCGTGGTGTCCCGGTGCCGTCGCAGCTGCGCATCGCAGGCACAAACGCGAGTTTTCGCGACATCGCGCGGCTCATGACCGCCGCAGGTGCGGGTGCGAGCCCGGGCGTTGGTATGGGCGAGAAGAAAGAGATCGAGCTCAAGAGCGTCGAGTTGGAGGCGTTCCGCAACCGCGTCCTGAACCGCCAGTACGAGGACCGCGGACCCATCGTGTGTCTGCGCTTCATCATGGGCGACGGGCGCGCAGACTACAGAACCACGGAAGAAGGTGGGCTCGGCAACGACAACGACCTCGTCAACCCGGACCAGAGGCATTTTGTGTGGAAGACCATGAGGGATTTGGCTGTCGAGACGAAGGGGCGGCCGAATGTGAATGCTTGATACACCACGACTCCCCTTTTCTTTTGCTTGCTTGTCGCTGAAAAGGGGGGGGGGGGAAGGTTAAAAGGCATTATCGATTCTGTGCAGGGGCGCAGGTTGTCTATCTATGACTTGCGTACTTCTACATATACGCCGTCCACCCGCTAATCGACTCACCCGCCCACTACCTATCTACTCAGGTGGCATGCTATCGCATCCGCGCGGCATTCCACATCTCAAACTCTAGCAACATCTCCCTCGTGATGCTCTTGGGCGTCTTCTCGATCGCCTTGCGAACGTCGTCGGACACGATGATGTCGCGGTCCGCGTCAAACGCGTTTTCCCCGGCTGTCTGGCAAATAGCCACGACCTCGGCGCCCGAAAACCCTTCTGTGGCATTGGCGAATTCTCGGACGTCATCTTCGAGGCTGTCGGGACTGTCATACACGCCTTCGAGGCGCTTGTGGAAGATCTCCCTTCTCGCTTCCGCGTCCGGCGGACCGATGTAGACGACGTTGTCAAACCGGCCTGGGCGCATCAGGGCTGGGTCGATGTTTTGCGGCTTGTTGGTCGCGGCGACGACAAACACGTTGCGCAGCTCCTCGAAGCCGTCCATCTCGTTGAGCAGCGTGGTCAGCACGTTCAGGTCACTGCCACCGCCGCTCCTCCCGCGCGAGGCGATGGCGTCGATCTCGTCAAAAAAGATGATGCTCGGGCTGGCCGCGCGCGCTTTGCGGAACACCTCGCGCGTCGCCCGCTCGCTCTCGCCCACGTACATGGAAATCAGCTCGGCGCCCTTGACGGCTAGGAAATTCAGCCCGGCTTCCGTCGCCAGCGCCCGCACGAGCAGAGTCTTGGAGCACCCTGGCGGACCGTACAGCAGGACTCCCTTCTTGGGCTGTAGGCGCAACTTCTTCATGCGGTCGGCAAACCGCAATGGGCGCTCTACGGCGTTGTGCAGTTGTCGCTTGACTTCGTGCTGGCCGCCGATATCGGACCATCGCACGTTGGGCGTCTCGAGGAAAATCTCCTGCAGGGCGGACGGTCGGACCTGTTGTAGGGCAGTCTCGAGATCTGCGGACTCTATGACCATGGGAGATCCTCCATCGCCTTCTGCTGTCTCGGCGGTCGGTAGGTGCTTCGATGCTAGGTGGATCGTCACCCGAAGAAGAGCCCTCAGATCGACGCCCACGTAGCCGTGAGTCCTCTCCGAAATTTCCTGCAAAAGCTCGTCCCCCGGGATACTGTCCTCGCCTCGCAGGGCCAGCAGGATCTCTTTTCTCTGAAGCGCCGAGGGGATCGGCAACTCAATCTCGGCCGCAAATCTGCCTTCTGTCCGCAGCCTTTCGTCGACGTCATTCGGATGCCTGGTTTCAGCGACCACTAGGGTAGGGCTTCCCTTGATGCGCTCAAACATCAAGTCCAGTTCACTGGACACAGTAGAAGAGCTGCTAGCGCCGGAACCCTTGATGATATACTCCGGCCTCACGAGGACGAGACAGGGATCTGGTGAAGCGTAGATCTCTGTCCCTGGCGTCCAGGACCGGACCGCAGGCCACGCGCAATCAGCCAAAGCGGTAATCAGGGCAGATTTGCCCGTGCCTTTAGCCCCATATAAGAGAAGGCCCTGCACGGGCTCGTACGCTTGAAAATGATGTTTGGCAACCGGATTGCAGAGATCGCTCACGATGTCCTGCACTTGAGCAATCTGTGATTGTATCCCGCCGAGGTGCTTCGGTTCGAAAACAATAGTCACTGGCTGATCGGATGTCTCTGAGCTGACGACGCGAAATGTCGTGTCCCTTGTCACGCGTGCAAACAAGGAGTCAGGCACACCCACGTCCTTGACGACAAACTCGGCTGCTCCGGCCTTGTCCGACTTGTTGGGCAGCACACAGTGTAGTCGCTGGGACACGACCATATATTCGCCCGTGGGGGAGATTTTCGAGGCGATCTGTTTCGACCAGGACTTCGAGTCAGTGGTGTCAGTGTCCGGCTGGCCTCCCGGCACCTTCTGGACCGTCACCGAGAGGGGACTCGGCAGAGGATGTGGCCAGCGCGAGATGGTGACTTTATCGCCCAACTTGAACCCGTAGGCTTCCTGGAGCAATCTCGACGTCTGGACGATCGAGTCCTTCATCCCCGGGCCCAGACCCTGCCACGCAACGGCGAGTTTTCTCTTGCCATTGGTGTTATCCCCGTCCGCTCCTCGGAGTTCACAAATGTCCCCGGACTTGAGCTTCAGCGAAAGCATCGACACGGCCGTCAGCCCGATTCTAAAAGGGTCTTTGTCCGCGCCGGCCGGACGCACAATGAAGTTGGACATCGTTCCAAGACCGTACCTATCGACATGGTTGTATTACCAGGTATGATGCAACAAAGGAAAAATAAAAATTCTAGAAAATCAATGATGGAGCATTTTACTCTTGATGCCTTGGCGAGTCGCGTCACGTGAGACGAACAGAGGTCCCCAATCGGGTACCATTGAAGTCTACGGTTCAATGGAGTGATCGAAGGCATCTACAGAGCATTTGAGATGTTGTGGAGATAGAAATAAAGTTCATTGCAAGGACTCAAGGGAGTCTCTCTTGCCTGCACTACGAGTGACCCTCTTGGTTAGGCCGGCATCATCTCCTCCGTCTCGTCCTGTAGTTCCTTCGTAGCTGGTATCAGCCATTTCTTGAGGCTTTGAATCTTCAGGGCTTTCTTCTCGAATGTCCGCGGCTCGTGGAACGCTCTCCCAGCCCTCCCCATCGTCCATCTTCGAAGCAGAGGTCACCTCTTTTACAACTTTAGCCCCTTCACTTTCGGCTCCGTTCCAAGCACCACAGCCACTACATCTCCAACGACCCAGTTCTTCAAGTGTTCTCACGCCAGGAGGTGCTTGACCATTGACCAAGCGACATCTGGCGCACAACAGTACCAATCTGTTCTTGGCCGCGGTTTCATCCTCACCAAGAAGAACATCCAGTATGCGGTCGTACCAGTGAGGGGGTTGCTCATACGTGGTGCTAGAAGCAGGCGGCATGCTGGAGAAAGCATTTGGAGCGAAACCGGGAGAGTCTGGCGTAATCTCCATTGGGCTATGTGCCACCACAGGGCCCGCATGTGGTGATGGGCCATGAGTTGGCGACATAGGCGCAGAGCCAGTCTGTACGTTCGATTGCTGAGGGAATGGCATGGAGCTATGTCTTCCTGGAATATTTGCGGTTGGCGGAGGTGCAATCCCAGTCCTCTGTACAGGGCGCTGGTCTGTGGAAGGAGGCGCTTTTCTCTTCGGACCTGATTGCGGCTGTTTCGAGGGAGACTTTGTCGGTGGAGCGCCTCCATATTTCTGCAATAGCTCCTGAGTACTGTCGTACTTTGTAGCTTTTTTCAGGTCCGCAATCTTTTGCTCTCGCTGCTTCTGTAAATGCTCCAAATATGCTTGCTGACGGCTTATCCTCCAATCAAAGAAGGCGGCGATGGATGTGCGGACCACGTATATGAGGATCGGAGAACCGACGAGACCGGCATAGTGATAGATCGACCAGCTCTGTGGTCCAAGGACGAGAACAATGATCAAAGTGTAGAGAAGGTATGTGAGGGTGGTATAAAGAGTCCACAGGGCCTTGATCCGGCGGTCTCGACTGCGACTTGTGTCAAGGGCAAGGTTCGCGGCGGTGATTTGTGAGGATAGTTTGGAGAGGGCTTTCTCGAACGATGCAGGGGAGTTGGCATCTCCCTTGTATAGCAACTTAGTCATTGTCAGAGTGTTTGAGTGGGCGCGTGCTCACCTTCCAGAGCCACGACATACTGGCGCGCCTCATTATCGAAGCTGAGAATCCCAGGTAACAGAAAAGGCTAGTTATGAGGAGCTGTGTGCCATTGAAGGGTCGTGACTTATTGACAACAGCATCATGCGCCGAGTTCGGGGCACACGCATGCGACGACCATGGATAATGAATTGATGTCCGCCTGCGTCACAGCGAGAATAACGGAAAACGTGTTGTCACCTCAGGTCAGCCTGGCGGGCCAGTGCCAGTTGCCCAGTTGCCAGTTGCAGGCTGCGCTTGGGCTTGGAGAGCATTTTCCGTTAATGCGGGGAACGCCACGACTATGATATAATTCCAGCTTCAATGCTCGCCTGCTTGCGCTTCATTCTTCTTGTCCACCTCCACGCTGAGTCCTCAGTAACAGTCACCATGGCATCTCCTTCCTATGCGCGAAAACTCCTCGGAGAGTCTTCACGGAGCCTGTTTTCAGCACGCCGTTCGATATGTTGGAACTGCCAACAACCCGTCAGATCTCTCGCCAACCAGAGACGAAAGATTAGCAGTTACGGCTACACCCAAGCTAAAGCCCTTGTATATTCCAAGTATGGAGAGCCCCAAGATGTCCTATCACTACATGGTCACTCCATTTCACCCGCATCTGGGACGAACGTCGTCCTCCGAATGCTCGTCGCTCCGATCAACCCCGCCGACGTCAATCAGATCCAGGGTGTGTATCCTGCGAAACCAGAGATGACAACAGCTCTCGGTACCTCAGAACCCTCGGCGGTGGGTGGGAATGAAGGTGCGGCGGAGGTCATCAGTGTCGGTTCTGGGGTGAAATCCCTCGAGAAAGGAGATTGGGTTATCATGAAGACTACCAGTATGGGCACCTGGCGGACACACATGGCAGTAGACGAGAGCAAATTGATCAAAATTGACAACAAGGAAGGACTGTCCCCACTCCAGGTCGGGACAGTCTCCGTCAACCCCTGCACGGCATACCGCATGCTTCTTGACTCGGCAAAATGGAGTTTCCGGGGAGACGAGTGGTTCATCCAAAACGGGGCCAACAGCGGCGTAGGAAGAGCCGCCATACAGCTGGGGCGGGAGTGGGGATTCAAGAGCATCAATGTAATCCGGGGTCGGGAGAATAAGGAGGAGGAACAGAAACTTCGCCAAGAGCTGCTTGATATTGGAGCCACCAAAGTCATCACCGAAGAAGAACTACAAGGTCGCGAGATCCGAGACCAGATCAAAGAGTGGACAAATGGAGGACGAGAGCAAATCAAAGTTGGCCTCAACTGCGTGGGCGGGAAGCCCGCCACGGCCCTTGCCAAATTCCTCAGCCCCGGAGCGACCATGGTGACATATGGAGCAATGAGCAAACAACCTCTCATGTTACCTGCATCGCTCCTGATCTTCAAGGAGATCTCCTTCAATGGGTTCTGGGTGAGCAAGTGGAGTGACCGGCACCCTGACCAGAAGAAACAGACGGTGGACGACGTCCTTCGCCTCACCAGAGAAGGGCGATTCAAAGATATACCGGTGCAGGAGTGCAAATGGGGATGGAACACCGAACTTGACCTTTTGAAGCAAGCGGTTCAAGGCACCCTCGGGGGCTTCCGGCCGGGTAAGGGCGTTTTTGTGTTTGAAGAGACGTGAGCGGGTTGATGTACTCGCCTCTTGTACAGGACATTTCTTCGGGATACTTAGCGGGGCGAACATGCTCTGCCCTCTGCTCAGTGATATGGGGGTTTTCTGCTATGCAGTCGTCCTTTGGTTGCACTCTCCAGCGACCTACGTCTCTGACGGCGAAGCTGAAGATGTATAATCTATGTCCATATACTCACCCACCAGGTGCACTGTAAGCTTATACACATCAGGTACATAGTCATTTAGTAACCGTGGCGAGTATTACAAGCGCTATATAGCTATGTAGGTAGTAACGCCAGGATGGGCATTAACAAAGAGGATAGGATTGACAAATTCATGGCGGAAATAAGACCTATCACCTCTCGCCCATGACAACCACGCACGCACGCACGCACGCGCCTTTTCCTTGTCAAGAGATAATCGTACAAAAAAAAAGGCGGAAGTAAGTATGAGCAACGCAACCCCCAATCCTACTAGTAACCTTGTAGGTACCGTCCGCATTTCCGCCCAATAAATCGACCTTGGGTGCGCCGGGATTCCGCCCACTAGCACCAGAGCCAGAAAGGGCAGTTCTGCCCGTTTCGGGTCTATTCAACGCTTGGCAAAGCCTTGCGCTGCTTTTGAGACTGCAACAGCTCCCGGTACAAGCGGAGACACCCGGTGATTCTTGAACAGTTCAGCCTTGAGGATCTGCACGTGTGTCAATCCCAATACTTGTTGTGTAGGTGTCTGTCGCAGCTATTCCTACACCACCATCTACATAACCTCGCAAAAGTGGATAGAGCAACGGGTCATATTGTCCCGATCCCCCCTTGATGCAGTCCCGGCGACTACCCTTTTCTCCTTCAAGCCCACTTCCCGAGCAGACTCATCAAAATCATACCGGCGAACAAACTGAATCCACCAAGAAGGGTCTTTACCGTTGTCGCGTGCAGCATCTCGCCACCATCTAGGATCCAATCTCGTGCCAACATATCGACCAGCGCGACCCAGGCCAGAATGCCGGCGCTCAGGGAGTCTAGCGTACCAATCGCCACAATGGTATTCTTCTCGTTCCCGTTGAAATTGTGGATAACACCCAAGCCAATCGCCATGCCGATGGGTGTGATCAGGGCGTATGCGAACGCCATGAAGAATTTGGTGGGCCAGAAGCGGGTGAAATTCGAGGGTAGCAGAGCGATCCGTGCACCAAGTGCGAGTCCTTCAAAGAATTGGTGAAATACAATCACGACCAACAGTGTCTTGTAGAATGAATCACCCGCCACTACCAGCGTCAGGCCGATGAGAATGCTGTGAAACAGGATGCCTGCTTCCATCACCATGACCGAAAGCTTCGAGTTGGGATTGGCTGGGTCGAGAGGGTTGCCATGATTATGGCCAAGGTTTGCGAGGTTGTTGGAGTTATAGGCTGACGCATGAGGATCAGTCAAGCTTTTCGAGACAGGCGTAGATTCTCCTTCCTTCGCGAATGCTGAAATGGTGGCCGTCTCTTCGGGGCCTGCGCCCCTCTGCTGTTGAGGGGAGGCTCCTCGCGCGAGAACGATGCGGTGGCCGATATGCTCGACAAGGAAAGCAAGGATAATTCCAGCCATGACAATCGCAGATGTTGTAGCTTCGTACTCGAGCACACCAAGACATTCATTGTTAAACATCAGTGATGCGTGAGTGTAGAGATGGACGAAAGCAGTCGATAGAATAACCCCGGTGCCGAATTGCTTGACAACGGTGAATCCGATAGCATTTACAGATTTGAAGGGGAGCTTGGTGAGCAACAATGGTGCGTAGACGCCGATTGCACTGGTGACCAAGACAACGAAGAGTGTACCAATTCTGAGCGGGATGTCGTAGTCTCGCTGTGTCAAGCCGCAGTTCAGCTCTTCACTGACGCTTTCGCTCCCCCCAGCGGGAACGCAATGCCTAGGCATCATTAAGCACTTGACGCGTTTTATAGACAGGGGTAGCTTACTCTACCCCAGCGTGAAAATGGCAATCAAGCTCCTCCTCATCCTCAGAATGCTCCTCATGATCTTCATGTTCCTCGTGCTCATCATGGTCTTCCGAGACAGTAGCTCCTTCGGCGAGGACCAATACTTCTGAGCCATCTGGGGCTAAGCAGTACCTTGTTTCATTAGCTCAGATATCTTTCTCCATGCAAGCGCTCAGTGCTCACTGTTCATCTCCATGAGAATGGCATCCGGTGTATTGTGCGGGCGGTTCTCCAGTTGCGGTTGCGGTCGTTGAGATCATGACCTCTTCTCCAGCACCATCGATGCAGTAGCTGATAGTCTGTCAGCTTCTGTATATCCATTCGCCTCTGTAAAATCTTACATATCAGCACCATGTGCATGACACCCTGTCACAGCGGTAGTTTGACCGGTAGTTGTGGCCGAAGCAGACACCGACGCTGGTAGAGTTGCCGTCGACAATGTCGTAGGAGCGATGGAAGAATAGGTGTACAGAGCAGTCTCTTCACCGTCCGGGCCATAGCAGTACCTGCAACTCCTTGTCAGCGAAGGTAGTGCGAGTATACCAGAATGTCGTACTCGACGGAGGAATGATTGTGGCAACCAGTGTATGTTTGAGCATAAACGGCACTTTTGAATGCCACCACTAAGAAAATAGCTGCCAGCATGATGGAGAACCCTTGGAATATAAAATAGACACTATAGTAGTAATGTGACGGCCGATGAAAACGAAACACAATGTCCAATGCTTGAAAACGAGCACTCGAGATACAAAGATTGTCCAAGTCAACACGGTGCTAGGGGAGTATCTTGCCTGGGTACCTTGGTCTTGTACTGAAAGTGGAAGGAGCCATATATGCTACCCTTCAACGTTGTCTCTGTTATTTCGTCGGCACGATTGACGAGAGCCGCGACGGCTTCGGAAAGGAAGAATTTTCAACATTGACCCCATCCTTTGACAAACTAAAACTCGACATTCTCACATATTCCTCTCCCAGTAGACCCGTAGGACCACTTGGCAAGGCTAATATCGCATTGGGAGGAGGCGGGCCAAAGCTCGGAGTGGAAGGCTCAGTGGAAACATGGCAGGCGCCAAGTCGTTGGCGGGAACGGACGACTGTCCAAGACATAAGGTCCTCAATTTTGGGAACTTTAATAAATCCATGAGCATGGGCAAGTCCAAATAGTAGGAAGCTGAGTGGTAGGCGTACCAGATGTAGTTGGCCAAGGCTCTGGGTTTAAGGTACTCATTTTTGTCTGGGCGTTTCCGCAGCGGAGCGGAAATGTCTTGGCACATGGAAGTATACTGCCCTAGACTCGGACCTGAGCGCTGCAATGGGGAGCTTATATCGATGGTAACCACACACGTGCCGCTCCACCGAGGCGTTCTCCTCGCCATGGAAGAGCTGTAATCGGTATTATACCCCTCGAATGCCATGTCATGATTGGATCGCCGATGCCGCTAGGACCTTTCATACCGTCATCTCATGCTGGTCCTCGCTTGTGATAGCCTCGTGGTACGCTTTGGCACAAACGAATACTCCCGCCTTTGCTTCCATCATACCAGCCGATTGAGGAATTGAGCAGAAAATTTTTCGTCGAAGTCATGCGGCCATCGATCATGGGTGGAGGTTGGGTGATAACCGACAGTCGACGGATCAGGTTACGTACCTTGCATACGTCCCGAACATGAGAGGGTAAAGACCGGGTATATAATGGAGCTGTAGATCCAGTCACTGAGTCGGCAGACATCGCCATCTGCAAACTCAGAACTCTTCCATCTTCCTGACTGGTCCGCTTCAAGTCCAGAAAAATGTCTCTCGTTTTCAAAGCTCTGTTCGTTTCCGCAATCTCGGGCGTCCTTGCGGCGCCTACGCAGCTGGTAGCACGTCAAGAGGCCCCCTCGTCCAATGTTGAGGCCTGGGATGCCGGTGCTGTCTCGCAGTTCCAGATTCACGAAAGCTGCAATGTTACCCAGGCACATCAGATTGCAGCCGGTTTGAACGAAACCATCTTGCTCGTCGAGCACGCCAAAGAGCATGTCCTCCGGTTTGGTAACACCTCTGACATCTATCGTCGTTATTTCGGAGACCGACCTCCCCATGAAGTCATCGGTGCCTATGAGATTATCGTCAATGGTGACAAGAAACGTGTCCTGTTCCGCTGTGATAACCCCGATGGCAACTGCGATATTCCCAGTGAGTTGACCATGTCGTCTCGAATGTGACATTGTACTGAGACATCCCTAGCATATGCTGGCCACTGGCGTGGAGAGAATGCCACCGACGAGACCGTCATCTGCGACCTAAGTTATCAGACACGCCGGTGGTTGAGTCAGATGTGCGCACTTGGATACACTGTCGCTGACTCTCCCACCAACACATTCTGGGCTTCCGATTTGCTGCATCGCCTTTACCATTTGCCCGCCATTGGCTGGGGATATATCGAGCATTTCGCCGACGACTATGAGGAAGTCGTCGAGCTTGCTGCTGGTAACACCACCGAATCCACGCATGACAGCGATACCTTGCAGTACTTTGCACTTGAGGCGTACGCATATGATATTGCCGTTCCAGGCGTTGGATGTCTTGGTGGGGAAGAGTCTGGCGCTGCTGAGGCCACCACAACTTCCGCAGCACCAGCGCCAGCAGCAACAAGTAGCTCGCCAACGGTGCCAGAAGCTCCGTCATCAACGGCCTCCGTTCCAGCTGTAAGTTGGACGATACTATCGAGATCGCAGGCACTGACTTGATACAGGAATGCCACACTCATGAGGGAGGTGAATTGCACTGCACTTAGGAATGCGGGTGAAGTGGAGAGAGAAGATATATCGAGTGTGAAACAACACATCGAAGACACGCAATGCGCAACAAAACCCATGGGTCAATTCCCAAAGTACATAGCATCGAGATAGAAAAATAATGAAGTAATAGCCAAATGCATCGTGGCCTCGATTATCGAATAATATACCTGCTAACCATCCTTACCAATCTAGTCATGTCGCTTGTAGGAGGGACCAACTACATGGCCCGCAAAGTAGCTAATCGTAGAGCAATGATTTTTGTAGGGAGGGAAGAACTCTCAATGGCCCCAAAAGCGGCCGCATTGACCGCCAAACTCGGAACTCGGCGGGAAATCTCCCCGCAATAACATGCCTAATCGGTACCTAAATACCTCCTTAAGGACGTTGCCTAGAAGGCAGAATTCCGCGACCACTCAATGGTCTGGACGGCAAAGTTTCCCTATCAAAGTGAACGACGGAATTTCTGACGTGCCTTGGCACCTCTGGTAGCATCAACGAGTTGCTACGAGTCTGACATGACTACAAAGTCTATCGACACATAGCGCGGATTTATGATAACGCTGTGCGTCGGGTCTTGGGGGTATTCTGTTATTTTCCAACGCCATCCGTTTAAGCCACCTGAGTCATCCTTGTATAATTCGTTTCCGGATCTGTCGGTAATGAGGAAATAAGGCAAAAACATATATATGTACAGGATCTTCTCGAGGAAAGCCCCGAGATTGCAGACCAGCCCAGCATCAAGGACATTGAATCTTTCGAGGATACCACCATATAGAGGGTTTTGTTTCTCCAAGAGTGTAGACATGGACGCTGATCAATTCCGGAAAGCTGCCCACGCAGCTATTGAAGAGAGTATGTTTCCAATCCAGAGGATTTCCCCACGAGACTATTCTTCTGTCCCGAACGAAAAGAAAAGAAATCCACGACTAACACGTTGCTCTCCCCTCTAGTCATTGCCTACAATCAAGAGCTTCCCAACTACCCTGTGCTGCCGACGATCAAGCCAGGATACCTCGCACCACAGCTGCCATCGTCAGCACCAGAAAAGCCGGAATCATGGTCCGAAATCCAGTCAGATATTGCGTCGAAAATTGTGCCCGGTATCACTCACTGGCAATCACCCAACTTCATGGCCTTCTTCCCGGCTGGTGTCACCTACCCGTCCATGCTCGGGGAGATGTACTCTGCCGCATTCACGGCGCCGGCATTCAATTGGTTGTGCAGCCCTGCGTGCACGGAGCTGGAAACCGTGGTGATGGACTGGTTGGCTCGGGCTCTTCAACTGCCCGAGGAATTTCTCAGCACGGGTGCCAGCGGCGGCGGAGGCACTATTCAAGGGAGTGCCAGTGAGGCGATAGTGACTTGCATGGTCGCTGCGAGGGAGAGGTATTTGCATAACAAGTGTGACGCAGAAGGCCTGAAACCTGGGTCGCCAGAGAGAGAAGACCGCATTGCCTTCTTGAGAGGTCGGCTGGTGGCCTTGTCGAGTGATCAAGCCCATTCTTCGACGCAAAAGGGTGCTTTGATCGCTGGAACGCGGTACAAGTCTATTCCGACTAAGCTTGAGAATGAGTTGTCATTGCAGAGGGAAGAGCTGGAAGCTGTCCTGGAGCAATGCAAGGCTGAAGGTCTCGAACCCTACTACATCACCCTGACGCTGGGCACAACCTCGACATGTGCCGTTGACGACTTTGCGGGTCTCGCGCCAGTCCTGAAAGCCAACCCAGGCATCTGGGTTCACATTGATGCGGCCTACGCTGGAGCGGCCTTGATCCGACCCGAATTCTCCTCCAAGTACTCTCCACAAATGATCATCGCCGACTCGTTCAATATGAACATGCACAAATGGCTTCTAGTCAACTTTGACGCCTCCTGTCTGTTTGTCAAGAACAGGAACCATTTGACGCGTGCATTGTCCATATCTGCCGCCTATTATACGAACAAACACTCGGACAGTGGTCTGGTCACGGACTATCGAGACTGGCAAATCCCACTGGGGAGAAGATTTCGAGCTCTGAAGATCTGGTTTGTCATGCGGAGTTATGGCCTAGAAGGGATGAGGGAGCATATCAGAAAGTCGGTGGAGAGAGGTGAGGTCTTTGCTGACCTTGTCCGAGGGAGGAGTGACCTGTTCGAGCTGGTCGCTGAGCCGAGATTTGGTTTGGTCTGTTTTCGAGTCAAACCCTCTGCCCTGGCAGAGCAGGCGAATACGGCGGAGACGAATGCCGATTTTTTGCCACAGACGGCAGCGAACCAACAAAAAGAACAGGATGCGAATGAGGTGACGAGGCACATTGGAGATCTGATCAACGAGCGTGGCCAGATTTTCATCACCTGCAGCAGCACCGCGGGCAAATCCTTCATGCGCGTCGTCAGTGGCAATCCGCATGGAGAAGAGAAGTATGTGAGGGCGGCGTTTGAGATCATTACGAAGACGACGGAGGAGGTCATTGCCTCGAGGAAGCCAGGGAATGAGATGAATTGACCGAAGCGGGATATACTGTATATACACACTCCATTCTTCAGCGATTCCGCCCTTCTGAGGGTGGTTGAGCTTTGATAGATAATAGACCATGAGCATGCATATCTCGAATGATCATTAAAATGCCCAGCATGCTTGTGCAGCACTCCGTGGTTATTGGGGAACGACGCCACTGTGGATGGGAATGAGAGCTGTGTAGTCGATGGTAGGAGTTCTAGAGGCAGTCGGTGACGGCTCGGCGCACGACGCGTCCGGTCAGAACACGCGTAAAGTGGTAAATTCCCCCACCTAAGACCAACGATTCGTATCCTCACCACAATCCGAACACCTTGTCACGATCCTTGGAGACTGCTGTCCCTCAAATGGAGAGCCTCGGAGGCAATGCTGGCTACAGCGATGCCAATAAAGCATTCCTACAGGCATTTCTTGCCCGCAGCGTCCTAACCCTTGAGACGGCCAAACCCATCATTGCAGCATGCTCGTCATTTCAAGAGAAACGCGAAGTCCTGCCTCAAGATGTCACGGTCGAAGACTTGAACGACTACATTGCAGAAGCAAATCGCAGACTATCCCCTCTTGACCTCGAGATCAGAAGTACCTTCCACCAGCAGACCCGCGAAAGAGTGTATGCGCTGGTGAACGCTACGAGCGATCCTCTCACTCAGCTCGCCACGACATACACAGCCGACGAAATTGTCTACGTGAAAAAGCTACTCGATGCAATGTTTGATGGACAGAACAACAGGGGCAAAAGAGAAGCCATGTGTATAAGCGGCATCGATGCGATTCAGGTTGGGCGCACCCCTCTCCGCCGCCAGGCGTCTGAAGAGAATGAAAACGGGGCACAGTCATCTGCTGGTATGCTCGGTGCTAAGGATGCTGAGAATATGCTGCACCGAATGCAGAGCGAAGGGTGGCTAGAAAAGAGCCGGGCTGGGTTTTACAGCTTGAGTCCTCGTGCCTTGATGGAACTCAAAGGCTGGCTGGTGGACACCTACAACGACGAAGACGAGGACGGCAATCAGAAAGAGAAGATCAAGTTCTGCCATGCTTGCAAGGAGATCATCACGGTGGTAAGATATCATGCAGCACGTTCTTTTCAATTTCCGCCTATTCACGAGAGCTGACACATTTCTCAACTGCCCAGGGCCAACGGTGCCCTCAACGTGAATGCCCTTGCCGAATACATGATATATGTACCCAGAATTTCTTTCGAATACACCGATCCTCGAGATGTCCATTATGCAGGACCGAGTGGGACGGCGAACATTTTGTGGGAGAAAAGGCCATCACCACCTCGGAAAGCTATCAGACTGGAAAGAGAAGGAGTGGTGCATACAACAGACCCAGACGCAGCAACAATGAGGCTGAGGAAGTAGAAGGATGACAGGCTATGCGTCGAAGTGTACTTCGCATGCAACCTTGCGATTACGGGAAATTCCTTCAGATGCACGGAGTTTGGCACTCGACCTCCACACACACATCTCGGGCATCGTATCCGGGTAATGACCTCTGAGCAGCAAATCCTTGATGCTCCAAGCAGGTCCAAGCCCGGCACACACTTCTGACTTGTTGACTTCTGATCTGACCCAATAGCCGTACCGGATTTTCTACACGCCACAAGATATTCTGTCAGAGAATGAGCAGGATCCTCGGTAACCATGCCCGTATCGTCAGTGGACTTGGTATTTGCATCAAAAAGTCTTGCTCCAAGTCTTGCAGAAATGGCGTGACTTTCTCTCATCGCACAGGGAGGTACAGAATGACAGGTAGGAGTAAGGCTTGGGATGCTCGGAATGCGGAATGCGGAATGCGGGATTTCGTGGTCAAACTGATAAGCATTTCCTAGCACGACGACTTCCTGGTCGTAGCATCGTGCAGCCTTAAATCCGATCGACCATCTCTGCGCTCGCCCGAGATGTTTAGTCAGGGGACTGTGCCGATGTTGTATCTGCGACTGTTCAGCTATAGTTGTCCCCTCATAATGGACGGGGAGAATGCGAACATTCCGAAAGTTGGGAGGATACACAGAGTAGTGCTTAGGCGTTGGCGGCGGACTTGTGTGTTAAGCGTGCCGCCGCCTAAACAAAAGCAGCAAAGGGGCACGGGATGACCTAGGAATGAAGCTTATGATTTGGCGCTGGTGATGCTCGTGGTGCTTGGTAAGGGGGGCACGGACTTCTCAAATTCTGGGGAGCCGTGGCTTCGGGGAAACATCGTCGAATCCATCGAAAACGGCAGTCAACTAAGCGTGGCTAAGCGGTGCCTCGCTCTCCTCCCATCAACTTCTCCGCAATTCATACCGGCCCTCGATTGTTGCATCGCTGCGTTCTCCTTGACGGTGAGCTGCGTTGTATCTTTATATCTGTAGACATGCCTTCGAAAATGCGTTAGGAACCAGCAGCAGACATCCATTGATTCACTTCGACTGCGCATCCACGATGAAGTCAATCGCCCGCCTCAGTCGTCCAGTCGGCTCCCTCCTGCGATGCGCCGAGCGAGAGAGGACCTCCTGCTTTGCTCCCTGGACTACGAGGCCGTTCCACAGCTCGCCTGCAAAGTTCGAAGACAAAGGCCCTGGTGATGCGAAAGAAAACTTGTCCTTTCGAGGACAGCTGTATCAGAGCACTGCAGACCGATTGAAACGCGAAAGAGCTTCAGAGGAACAATATATAAGGGCTGCCAGCGGTCGGGGAGGAGGTGCTGGGGGCAGGACACTCAGTCTCAGTTTCGGTATTTGTCTCACCTCTCGCCCGTCTCTCTTCTTCGCTAACAGCACAAGTGATTCTGTCTGTCGCGGCCGCAGCTTTCTACCTAGGGAAGAGGGGCGAACGACCGCTCGACGCCTCTTCCACAACCCCTCTGTCTAAAGCACAGCCGCCTCAACACGATACAAGAGCCTCCAACCTACAGGCCGCTTGGGTCGATTTTGCCCAAATCGTGGGCAAGGATAATGTCTCGACGGTTCCCGACGATCTCGATTCGCATTCAGGTTCAGAATGGTCCTCTTACACAACGAAGCCCAATGAAAGACCGTTTGCTATTGTATACCCTGCCACCACCGAAGAAGTGTCCAAGATCATGAAAGTGTGTCACGAACGAAGAATTCCCGTTACGGCGCTCTCTGGCGGTACCAGTCTCGAAGGCCACTTTGCACCCACACGAGGAGGAATATGCATTGACATGGCAAGAATGGATAAGATATTGGACTTCCGACCTCAAGATTTGGATATCGTGGTACAACCCGCTCTTGGCTGGGAAGACCTCAATGAAGAACTCAAAGGGCACGGCATGTTTTTCCCGCCGGACCCAGGCCCAGGAGCAAAGATTGGGGGCATGGTAGGCACGGGCTGCTCAGGAACAAATGCTTACAGGTATGGCACAATGCGCGACTGGGTCGTCTCTCTGACCGTCGTCCTCGCCGACGGGACCATCATCAAGACACGAAGGAGACCCCGCAAATCAAGCGCAGGCTACAACCTCACTCAGATGTTCATCGGCAGCGAAGGCACACTGGGTATTGTCACGGAAGCCACTTTGAAGATCACGGTTCTCCCTAAAAGCCAGTCCGTTGCCGTTGCGACTTTTCCCACCATCCACGCCGCGGCGGAATGTGTTGCGAGAGTTGTAGGGGACGGTATCCAGCTTGCCGGGATGGAGATTCTGGATGATGTGCAAATGCGCTGCATCAACAAAAGTGGAATGACCAGTAGGCCATGGCAGGAAGCTCCCACTCTCTTCTTCAAGTTTGCCGGGACAACGGATGGCGTCAAAGAACAAATCAAGATCGTTCGGAACATTGCCAAAGCAACCCACAACCAGAGTTTCGAGTTCGCAAAGAACGACGACGAGGCTGCAGAACTCTGGAGTGCAAGGAAAGAGGCCCTGTGGAGTGTCATGGCGATGCGGAAAAACAGCAGCGACCATGTTTGGACCACCGATGTGGTAAGTTATACGCTGTCCACACTTCTGGGGTAAGACTGACACGGACCAGGCTGTCCCTATCAGCAGACTAGCAGACATCATTCAGGAAACCCACGACGATGTAGCCAAGAGCGGCTTGATCGGGGGTATTTGTGGCCATGTAGGAGACGGGAACTTCCACAGTGAGAAACACTGCACTGCGCCGGTTGCTACAAGAGCTGACTTTTGCTAGCCATTCTCCTCTATAATGACTCCGAGAAGAAGATTGCAGAAGGGTTGGTTCATCAGATGATCCGACGTGCCATCGCCATGGAGGGTACCGTGACGGGTGAACATGGTGTTGGGCTGAAGAAGCGGGAGTATCTCCGCGAAGAGCTGGGAGAGGAAACTGTTGATGCGATGCGCAAGGTTAGATCCCAGCCAATCTGGATTTTATCAGATGTGTCGAAACTAATCTTGGAATCCAGCTCAAGCAAGCATTCGACCCTCTAGGACTGCTCAACTGCGACAAGATTGTCCAGGTCGAGGAAGGTCATTGAGCCTAGTTGGTGTCGTGGTTCGGGATATTTCTAGGCCGATGCCCTTCCAAGTCGGCGAGCAATGGCCCGCCTCGGAGTTCGTCATCATCATAAAAGTTCCTGCCCCGCACCGTGGCACAGTTCTGTTGAGTTCGCCGTCTTTAGGCTAAATTTCTCGATCTCTCAGCCATTGCGGCTTCGTGTGCTCCCTCCGGTGGTGTTTTACCTGCGTGTCATTTGAGATGGACCGCCGCTGGTATGAGGACTCTTACTTACAGTGGAAGACGGTCCGCAGGTTCAACAACCCCCGCCTTTATAGCTGATCTCACATAGCAACAATTTCCAGATCTTCCACCCGTGAAAGTCTTCTCTCTATATCTTGCGCCCGCAGTTACTTGTAGCTGACCCGTGCTCCCTGTTTACATTTCACATACCTCTCTAGAACATGGCCACAGAAACGCAAACGAAGGTAGGCCACCACCCCTGTTGTGTGTTTTGTAGCCAAAAGATTGACTAGACGCAGGAGAACAACTCTTTCGTCCTCCGCGGAATCAAAAATGTGTGCTTTGAAGATAGGCCCATACCAAAGCTTACAGGGTCCCGGGACGTCCTCCTCCAAGTCAACTACACCGGCATCTGTGGCTCAGACGTCCACTATTGGCAACATGGCAGAATCGGACATTTCGTGGTCAATGAGCCCATGGTTCTGGGCCACGAGTCCGCAGGCACGGTGCTCGAGGTCGGGTCCGGCGTCAAGAGCTTGAAAAAGGGCGATCGCGTCGCCATGGAGCCCGGGATTCCCTGCCGGTACTGCGTGCGGTGCAAGGAAGGGAAATACAACCTGTGCCCGGACATGGCGTTTGCGGCGACCCCGCCGTACGATGGCACGCTGGCAAAATACTACATTCTCCCAGAGGATTTCTGCTATAAATTGCCCGACAACATGACGTTAGAAGAGGGCGCACTGATGGAGCCCCTGGCCGTGGGAGTCCACATTACCAAGCAGTCGGGTGTCAAGCAGGGTGACTCGGTGGTTGTCTTCGGTGCCGGCCCCGTCGGACTTCTCTGCTGTGCCGTCGCGAAGGCGCTGGGTGCCACCAAGGTTGTGGCCGTGGACATCAACACGGAGCGACTCGAGTTCGCCAAGTCCTTCGCCGCGACATCGACGTTTGTCCCCTCCAAAGTCTCCGCGGCGGACAACGCACAGCGCCTCAAGGACGAGAACGACCTGCCCGCGGGCGCCGACGTGGCCATCGACGCCAGCGGCGCAGAACCCAGCGTGCAGACGGCGATCCACGTCCTCCGCATGGGTGGCAGCTACGTGCAAGGCGGGATGGGCCGGGACGAGATGACGTTCCCGATCATGGCGGCGTGCATCAAAGAACTCACCGTGAAGGGCAGCTTCAGATACGGGCCCGGCGACTACGCCATGGCCGTCGACCTCGCCAGCAGCGGCAAGATCGACGTCAAGAAGCTGATCAGCCGGAAAGTCAACTTTGACGACGCCGAGCAGGCCTTTGAGGACGTCAAGGCCGGCAAGGCCATCAAGGTGCTGATCGAGGGGCCCAAATAGGGGATTTGAGGAGGGGGAAGGGGACGTGCGTGTTGTATCAAAAAAGAAAAGGCCTTGTTCTACCTAATTCCATCATAGATCTACGACTTTCCTTGTGATTGTGCAATCGCGGTGCATGCCCATATCATACTCCTCTTCATTTCCGAGTGTTCCCATCTCTCTATCTCCTCCTCGTGTCCTGCCATGGCGCCTTTGACAGCCATATCTCAAATGTGGATGGCAATGTGGCAGGAAAGGAAAGGTGGTACCGATCAATCAACGCTGCGAGTATAGACTGTCTACGTTACACCGGGAGCTACACGGCGAGCGATCTATAAAGGCTTGTACATGAATACCTGAGGGAAAGCGCGCCCAAATACAGGATGGATCTTA